ATAAACGTCTTCCGCACTTCATATCCTCAGGCGTAATTACTTGTGCTTCAAGGGGTTATTACCGAAATCTCGTTTTCCCTAATTTTTTTTACAAATTTATAAGAAACGGTTAATAAAATTGTTGTGTAAAAATATACTGTTTTTAAGTTTTATTATTATTTAATGTCTCACAAAGTTCCATCATCGTGGAAGAATCTCTCTACGTTCTCAGTAAACTTTTGCCAAAATTCACGAAACTTTCTAAAAAATGTTGAACAATCGACGCACGACTATGAAAATTAGTCATCATTAGTCAATAATGATAAAACCTAAAAATAGGATATTTAATCAGTTCAATCTAATCCCGAGGTTCCCAGAAAGTTACAAAAAACATAAAAAATCAGAGAATATCACCAATAACTCATATTTTTATCACAATATAACGTTTAGATTGATTCGTTTTTATAGGGCCCTATCCTATGAAATTATCGAATATTAGCAGAGTGGGACTCATAAAAGACGATCTGCAGTTGAATTTTGTAACAGATTAGCTTAAAGAAGAAATATTAAGATAATGGAGAAAATAATGATCCGAGCAATAAATAATCATGGAAAGAAGAAATGGAGGTTTTCTTCTTCAGTATAAAATGCGACAATGAAGATATCAAATGACATTTTCTGATGAAATGACGATTGAAATTTGAGTGTCTCCTATTTCTCTTCAGATTATGCAGATTAATTCAAAACGATTGAAGATTTGTAGACTTATCTCTTCTTGCCGCAGCGCCTCCAAGCGGAATTTCAGGGAATTGTCTAGTTGAAGGAGAAAATTATTTCGACAAGAAGTACATTCGCACGTGTCTTTCTACCGATTTTATTTTAGAAAAACTCAAGGATTTTTCGGGTTGAAGATCATGGCACTGAGCCCAGCTACTAAACAAAAAGTTGCGGTTGTTCTGGAGGTGACGAAGACTATTTTACACTGGGGATTTATGCCTACCGTTCTCTATTTAGGTTAGTTGATGATTTACGTTTGTCTTCTCGTGTTATTACTATTTACGGTATTTCGGATAAAGGTAAAGAATTTGTTATAAACACGGACACACACGTGAATATGTACGGACACGGTTAAAAAATTGCATTTTTCGACTTCTTGAATCATGTCGGGTTGATATCATATGAAAAACGAGAAACTCAGATTTAATCGATTACAGGGTTTCCATTCGGAAATAAAAAGCAACTTTATTGACTTTTTCTCATTAAAATTCACTAAAATCGAAGCAAATATCTACTAAAAAAGCATTGACAACAATTCAACTTGTGGAATCTGAATAGATGTTTTAGTTTCGACAAAATTTTTATAAGAAACTCTAGATTTGTCTATTACGTTCTTTTATCCATTTGAAATCCAGAGATTCACAGATTGTTTCCAAGTTATCATTTTTATTGGCGTTTTTCCTAGGGTTCAAGAAGGGAGCTGACCCTGGACTACCCCCACTGACGCTCATGAAGTGAGTAAATCAATTTTTTGAAGGTCTTCAAACAAAACCAATCGTTCAACCATCCATTTTAATTTTCTACTTCTCTTTCCAGTCTATTATGGCTCTGAAGTACCCACCAGTCCGAAACTAGTGGAAAATA